GATCTGTCAACTTGGGGAAAATTTCCATTTTGCTGCAAACTCTGCAGCCGTTTGATGGGAATGTCTTGCTGACTTTTATCTCTCGGTGCGTCTGCAAACTAATTAATATTTTTTCTCTCCCTCTCTCTTGCTCTCCTTCAGGCAAATATTTGTTTCCTCAGAAGTGAGCGTGGGCAAACCTTCCTCACAGCTCCATATGCTGCCAGCTGCCAATCAAGTGGCCTGGAACCCTGAAACTAATCACACACCCCCACCATCCCCCCGCCTTGCTTCTTCCTGTCGTTCAGCAGAAATCAGGAAGCTGGGAGAAACCGTGTGTTTTTATGCGAGTCTGTAAAGTAGAATAATTATACTGAAAAAGAAAGGAATGAAATGAGTCAAGGTCAAAATGATATTTTTGTCAGTCCATTTTTTTCCTAATGTGTTTTTTTAATCATTACTTGCTGTTTTTTTGGCTGAAGATGCCAACAACATTTCTTATAGTTCTTTTTTTCTTTCCTAAAAGCATAACTGCTGTCATCTGGTATTCAGAGCGTCAATGAAAGTCAAATTTAAAATCTTTTCACAGATTCTTAAATCGCTTTAGGTCTGGACTTTGACTGGACCATTGCAACACTTTAATATACTTTGATTCATTTCCGCACAGTTTCTCTTTCAGCTTTTCTCTTTTCAGCAGCAAAGCATCTTAAAAACAACCTGAAGCTGCGTTCAGCAGGAGTCACTGCGGTTTATGGATATTTGCATGTTAGAAATAGATTTATTGCGGTGGACTGGTGACCTGTCCAGGGTGGACCCCACCTGTAGCCTATAGACCGCTGGAGATAGGCTCCGCCCCCGCCGCCCCTCTGATGGAATAAGAGGAGAAGATGCAGCTGCAGATTTAAACCACCATGGTTAATAATGTGGAATCACTGCAGGTTCTGACTCTGACACACATGGAAATGATGCCGCTGCTCTTCAAGCTTACGTTGGTTTTCTGTTTTCTGTTCCTCTCGCCTCATCCAGGTGTGGAAGCAAACTTCTGGGAGTTACTGTAGATCTTCTGTGTCTATTGTTGCTGTTTATCCCCCCCCCCCCCCCCCCTTTCTTTCTCACCTCCCTTTTCAATGTCTGTTCTGTACGATTTTACTCCTCAAATAATGTTCAATAAAGTTTAATCTACAAATATAAAGCAGAGTCTTATGGCAGCAGTCCTACTGGTCTGTTGTGGAAGCAAAGCTGTTAGGCTATCAGCTATCAGCTAGCTATGGGAAAGCTATTATTGGCTAAACAGGACACGCACAGTTGAAAACAATCCATCCTTTGTTGGTTATGTGGATCTATTTGGTAAAATCTCACTAAAGGACACAGAGGTTTGGAAAGCTTCAGACTGGTTGGATCATCGTCTGTCTGTTCCAGGAGCAGGTATTGCTGCATGTGAAGAAAGAACAGATCTTCTCCAAAAACAGAACATATGACATGATGTCCGTCTTTAATAAGTTTGCTGTTTTCTACATGGTTGCTGTGTCGTTCAGGCCACTTCCACACCCACCCACCCAGGCGTCCTTTATCAGCATCATGAGCGTGTAAGTGATGGTGTCTTTGTGAGGTTAATTGAAGGCAGGAGCGCTGCTGTCTCACACATAATCTGTCTGTTTTCTGGTGTATGTCTGAAAGGAGGAATGTCTTCAATGCTTCACATGTTCTTTTTTATATATATCTATGATAATGCAGAAACAAACCCACACAGCGACTCTTTTTCTTTATTCCTCCACCTGCTCAGCCCCCCAGAGATTAACTGTGTGCATGTTTGCAAAGAAGGGCTGGTGTGTTCCTGGGGATTTGGCGTTTACAAAAGAAACAAAAAAAGAAAGAGTGATGCCATAAGGCTTGCTTTTCTCCCATATCAGCTCTTATCAGGGCAGTCATTTTTGACAGCAGAAAGGACTTTTATCTGAGAGAAACTGTGTCCGTCTGGCCTCAGCATGCAGGCAAAGGCACTGAAACACACACAGCCAATCTTCACGGGTTTTAAAGCCACGCACACACAGAGCAGGTAATCGCCTCACTAGTGGAGTTGGGGGGTCAGAGAATGGAATCCCCCCTTTGACTGGATTAGAGCCCACCAGTATTCAGTCCAGTCTGGAGGATGCAGTCCAAGCAGGGTTAACTGTCCCTGCAGAGTGAGACCACATCCTGCTGTCTGACTGAACTCAGAAGAGGAAACTTCGTGCCAAATGTTAGCCGGGAGTTATAGGCGCATTAAACACAACATCAAAGGAACTTAAACAGAACAAGCTGGTTTAAAACAATTATTGTCTTATATCCATATGTGCAAAGATAATCATTCCTTTGCTATAACTGATGCAACTTTAGATCTATAGGAACTCTGTTGATGAAAGAGTGCTTTTTTTATGATGAGTTAAATAACAATGATTAGGAAAAGGAAATAAAATCAATACTTTGCTCAATAATCACTTCCTTTTCCTTGCTGCGTTTCCGTCACTTTCCTTTCCATCAAGTTGGTTCATCCCTGCTGCCTGGATGTCCATGAAGAGAGCAGGAGCGCCCTCCACTGGCTCATGAGGGGTAAGGTTTTACCTATGTGACTTTTAAACAATGTTGATGCTTTGTCAACAATTTTTATATAATTTCATCTTTTTATGCATTTTTTAGAATTTTTTTTTGACAAAGCCGTAATGACATCAGTGAATTTATCAAGATAATTTTTGAAAAAGGTGGCATGAACTGCAGCAGCATTATTCTGCAGAGAAGCTTCAAATCACTAACAGGTGATTTAATAAAAAGCTCAGTAAAGGTGGTGTTCGCTCAAACCAACCTTGAAAGATTAAGATTCAGCCTCTGTTTAGATTTTAGCAACATCTTTATCTGACAGGAGGTAATATTAGCATTTCAGTCCATGGTCCCGACTTGAAAATGAGAATCTGCGTAAGGAGGCCTTCCAAAATATAAAACATCAAAATGTAAGGAGGAAACGTCCAAATCGCAAATGAACTTTTTTTATTTGACACAGTGAGCATGTTTCCTTTGTTGGTTTTAAAAGAGTAAATCATTTTATTGTAATGTTTAATAGGATGGAAGTTTCCTCAGGACCCAAAGGCTACCAGGTAAAGTGCAGCCAGCCCACTATGGACACAAACTGTCCAGACCCCCCCCCTCTTCCTCCTACTGTAGGAAGCTACAGTCCAGCAGAACCTCCTGCCATAAAAACAGCCTCTTTCATTCTCCAGCTCATTAAAAATCTTCTGACAATCTCAGCACCTGTTTTAATCTAATTTCATGTTGTTGTGGTATATATTTAATATCTACCATAACTATCTTTCTTCATCAAAAGTTATGCTATTCTTCTCTATTTTCATTTCATTCCTAGACAACTTGCATTCGTTTATTTCAAACTAAATTTGACCAAATGTACTTCTATCTACTACATGTTTGATTCCTTTTTCAATCACTTTATCCCCAAAGCAAATAGCTTGTAGGTGTAAAACATTACTTGGCAATAAAGTATATTCTGATATTGCTATTGATATTAATATTTATGCATATTACGTAGCATGAATATGCTAATAAATAACGTCTTCCTTTGCATTTGTAAGCTGGGATTACTGTAGATATAACATTATAGCATGCTAGCATTAGGCAATGTTAGCTTAGCCTGATTGCTTCACTTAATCAGCTTCTTACTGGTTTTCCTTGGTCTGGTTTGCCTTGCCACTCTCAGTTTTCTCTAGCTCCAGTTTGACTTTAAATATAAATAAAAGTCACTGGGAGGAAGATCTTTATTGTTTCCTTGTGTTTGTTGGACATGGATGGTTGCTCATTATGTGACTTCCCTTCTTTCTGAATCAGGGACCAACCGTCCTCCAATGTCCTGATTTTTCAGCATATATCAGTTTGGTTGGAACTGCATCCAAAGAGTTAAAACAGTAACGCTTAGTAGTAACCCCAAATGCAACCCTTAAGCAAAACCCTAACATGTTGAGTTTATATCAGTGGAAATATTGAGAATGTACAAATCCACGTTATATCAGGGATGACACCCTCCTCTTCCAAAATATATTCCTAAAAACAACAGCAGATCTAATCTCTTCAAATTACTTTTTTCTCTTTTTTTTTTTAACTCTACATTAAAAAAGACGTCAAACTTTAAAAAAATAAAAAGCGAATGAAGGTTTTTCCTTGGCTCACATTCCCAGTGTCTCCTACCTGTGCAGTGCAGACAGATGCCATACGTGACGGTCCATAATAGCTACCAGTTTTAGCAAAGCAAGTGGATGCTGTGGGGGGGTTTCTTTCTTTGTTTTCTGTCTGTCATCCTGCTTTCTCACAACAAACTTAGTTAGTCTTACTGCAGCTGAAATGCTCTGGGATTCTAACTAAAACCATCTTTTACCATTTCTTCTCAGTTTGGTTTCATTACCTGTTTTCTTTCTGTAAATAAATAAAAACTTACAATGAAATATTTGTCATAGACTTTACAAGATTACAGAACACATTAAATTAGGGTGTTAAGGACAGAGAAAACAAACCAAAACCTTTATATCAGAAAACCTAAACAAGAACAACTACTTAGATATAATGCGTAACATTTCTAGGAAACAAGTTAATCAATGAGACAAAAGCAGCTAATTGAGGCTAAACTCAACTCCACTTTATTTATAAAGTCCTTTATAAATAACTCAACCCTGTAGCAACTACAGGGTGATATTCTGCCCCCTGGATTCAGTGCAAAACACAACAAAAAATGGAGAGAGCCCAATGGTGCTAGAGGGGGCAGCATTAATGGTACGTTCCACCCAGGGCAGTTGACTGGCCCACTTAGTGGGATCAGCCTCACACAGAGTACCAGTCTTAGTCTAGACCTCCTGGGTGGCCTTGTCTGTCGGTTTGAGGGTGAAAAGCTGACGACGAAATGAGGTGACTTTGAAATATAATCTATGTCAGATTTTATTTTAGAATATCATAGTAAAAAGGTATCAATTCAACTGCATGCCAATTTTTAAAAGCATTTTTATTGGTAAAACATTTGTAAATATAAAATCCAAGTAATATTTCTCTTATACTTCTCTACTTTTAGTTACTTTATTTTGCAGAAAGTAATCAGAAAAAAATTACATATTCCAAAACATTTGCAACTGGATCTGCAGCAATAAGTATTTCCATCAACTCAAACTCTGGATCTGAGATTAAAGATATGAAATATAAGATAATAGGAAAAAACGTGAAGAAAAAGTAAATAAGCTTGAATAGTTTTGCAGTGCACTGCATGTCCCATAAATGCATTGCTGAATATCTGTGCCAAACAATAAGAAAGCAGTCCCTTATTTTAGCGTGTCACATGGCTCATCTCCTGGCCTCCAGCGCACGGCCGCACATCAGGAAGAGCAGCCCAGATACCGCCTCCAGTGGAATACCAGTGGCTGCCACCATGAAAGAAAGTCCATAGAATAAGGAAACCTCAGCATTTGGACAATTTTCTCCCTTCTCCTGCAGAATGTAGCGCTTCACATCCACCACCTCCATCCACAGCACGAAGAGCAGAAGCAGAACCAGGAACAAGCCGGCTGCAGAAAACATGAGGAGAGGGAGACACACAGAAATAGAGACAGTCATTGCTGTTAGGGATTACGAATGAATGCAGCTTCTGCTCATCTCCACCGGTGCCCTGGCAGCAAAGTTTAGGCCTGTTGTTGTTATGGAAATGAATAAGGCAGGCAGACATCTGCTGTTCTTTGTGTTTGGCATGTGTTTTATCACGTGTCCCAAATAAGCAGCTGACTGCAGGGAAAGTAGCAGAATGGTTGTCTCAACATTCTTCACCTCTGGACCAAATGTGTGTCTCTCTGCAGACATGAAGTCCACTGAAAGAACTTGACACATGCACATGCAGCACAGCTGTGTCTGTTTTACCAGCAGCAATAAGAAAGGCCCCGCCCACTTTGTAAAGTTTCTGGCTGAAGAAGGGAACACCACAGATCAGCAGCGAGCCTCCAGTCAGAGCTGAGACCAGTGCAGCTATGATCAGAAGGGTCCAGAATCCACGAAACACTAAAACAAGGAAACAGACACATATTTATCCATCCATCCATTTTCCATCATGCTTTATCCCAAGCGGGGAGGTGAGAGGTACTGGTGTCTATCTCCAGCTATCCACAGGCGAGAGGCGGGGTCCACCCTGGATGGACAGGTCGCCAGTCCATCGCAGGAGACACAGATTTACACTACTTTTAACTAGAACCACCTCTGACCCCTCTTTGCTTTACTTAGCTTTTACTTTTCATTGTTTTAGAATGCATAAACTTGAGGATCAGACCAAGTTATCCCCAATAAATCTACATTTAAAACGATTATTAAAGGAAAACAGCTTTCCATACCAACCTGTCCATGAGTTCCATGAGTGAAGTCACTGACCTGAGTCTCCGCTCCTACAGAGAATGCAGTGAGCCACCCAGCTGATGAGCAGCCACACGTTTTATTTAATAAACACTTTCTTCTCAATTTGATCTTTCTACTTAAATTCTGGGTCCAACATTCTGAGCTTCTGACAGAGTTTAAATATTCTGCTCAGTCTGAGGCGGGGTACAAGTAACCCTTACCTGAGCTGCCTGCTTTCTGCTCTGCATAATCAGACTTGAAATAGACTTTATAGATTTAAAGTGAACTTATCTGACAACATGAAGTAGGCTAAAAAACAGGGTTACCAATACCTGGTTAGCCAAGCAGCAGCTTATTACTGAAAGCTGCCAGACCTAAATGCATTTCTCTAGAGATGTTTATATGTGTGTAAAG